TGCATAATAGGTACAATTTGTACACAATTTGCACTGTGAAATTTCAGGCATGGCTTCACATTTTAAAATGGAACCTATTCTTCAGCATTCCTTTTTTCTATAGTGATTTATTAAGCATTGCAATTAAATGGGTTGAGTAAAATAGCTATGTCCTTCTTGCATAGCCTCTTAAAACCGTCAAGAGTTTGCTATCTTATGGTCTCCTGACAGGAACAATTGCTTAGAGTACTTGTGAGCGATCTCAAGTCTTTCCCTTGTCCAGAAAGAAATTTTGAAGAGTTTGTCTAGTTACTGGTTTTTCATTTGACTGCACTCATTAGCTCTGTTTTTAGCAGAGTTGTTTCCAGTTCGTCATTTCTTCCCTAGAACTCCTTTTTCAGCAATGTCTACGGAGATTCTAAGTCCTCCAGTTCATGGTTCTCCCAAAGGTGCTTTTTTAAAAGACAACTGGACTTGGTGTTTCCTTGAAGACCTTTCGCTTCTCATGCAAGAAGCTTCTTCAGTTCTGACTGAACGGTGGAGGATGGAAGGATTTACAGTATATTCCTTGCAGTCATCTGTTCGTCTCTGAGAATTGTTGAGGGCACAGATAAACCTCTAAGTGGCTTCAACGACTCTCAGAAAGAATACAAATGACCAGATGGCTGCAAGGAACACGAATCCTTCCATCCTCCACCGTTCAGCCAAAACTGAAGAAGCTTCTTGGATGAGAAGTGAAATGTCTTCAAGGAAAAACAAAGTCCCATTGCCTTTTGAAAAAAAAAAGCACCTTGGAAATTTTTCAGCAATCTATCATTGTGCTTGGACATTTTATTATGCATAACTTCTTCTGCATTGGCTAATGTTGCTTCATCAGTTATCCATACGTTTAGTGTTGAGTAATCAGTCAACTTTTACCTAATTCTTTTTGTTCTGCACACGTACAAATGCATAGCATTTATACTTTTGGTTAGTCACCTTCCATAAAGGCTTGTTTGCTTCATTCTCTTGTTGCTGTACAGGTAGCAAAAGAATAAATTGATTGTTTGGAACAATAATAAGTTACTATTTATCTTTTCAGACTACTTGTGTTGCTCTTTTATTGAGCTAGACGTCACCCTTGCAAATAAATTTGCATACTTATTTCTCTCTTTGGAACATTACATTTTATTTTCAATATTTCCTGTAATGTTAATCATTTATATTGACAACTCTGAGTTGAAGATCTTAGAGCCGTTTATTATAAACCACGCTTTGTAGAATCGTCCAAATGAGGACATATTAGTTCATCTTCAGCTCCTGGAATAAAAATAAACCTTATTCTCTAATCACCCAATATGCCAAAAACTGCTAGACAACATCTCTCCCCACCAATAAGAAGATTGTTTTGGAAGATGGATGGATTAATAAAAAATTGCAAGGTTAAAGAGATTGTGTTGGTGTCATTTCTTAAATTTGAAAGGAGAGTGTAGTCAAAGGAGAGTGTAGCTATTTATGCTCAGATTTAAACTTTGGGACACTGAAAAAATCACAAAGTTTACACATTGAAGCCATTGGAGTTTAACCCAGCTTTGTTTCAAAATTGGGTTGAGTTCCCACAGTTAGATAAACCAAAGCTGGTAAACTATGATGTCCAAACAAATGATGTGGCTATTTGAAACACACTGGATGCATTTGTGCTTTATTTTGAAAGAGACCAGCATGGATAAATGTTAAGCCTTGCAACATACATGCAAGCAATTAGAATTATTTTCCTTCAGTTTCTAATTAACTACAGGTTTGTAACCAAGTGTTTAACTGTGGTTAATCTTCAAAAATGTTTTCCCCAAGCTGAAATATTACAAAAAAGCAAAGTGGAATCCTAAACTCAACCCTACTCATTTGCCAAACACACTTTAAAGTGTGTTTGCCTACATATCAGCTCAATGTGTGATTGCCTACATATTAACTGAACACATAAGGAAAAATATTTCGAAGGAGAGGCTTGTAACTAGCAGTATCACCATGATCTGAACTTGACTTGGTTTCAAATCACAATTTACAAATTAGTTTAGAGTTTATTAGGATTAAACAATAAGTTGTAGTTAAAACTGGAAGAGAAAACTGACATTTTGGACCCACTAGACACAGGAAAGATATAAGCCCAGGGTTTTCATCTCAACAAACCATGGTTTCTTTGGTATAAAGTTTGAAAGTAAGGTGACCAACCGTCCTCCTTTAGGGAGGACAGTCCTCCTTTTGTGAGTTCTGTCCTCCCTCGAAAAGTGTCCTTCTACATGTCCTCCTTTTCGATATTTGAAGACTAATCTGCAGGGCTTTTTTTTCCTCATAGAACGCTCAGAACGGTGTTCCGGCACCTTTTTTTTGATGTTTTTTTTTTCAACTTTTGCATGAGCTGTGCTATTCCCCCTATTGGCTTTTGAAAGCCAATAGGAATTGCTGCTGAGTGTGTCAAAACACCCGGCCGACAAACTTTGCACATGTAAGTTGTCTGCAGCCAAGGCGAATTGGCAGGAACTTTGCACCCCTCCCTGCTACCCAACTACACCATCTCCTAGTTAGTCCTGAAGATACCTGGAGGAGACTGGAGCAGCAACGCCACAGTAACTTTCTCTTGATCTTCGGCCCTGCTAGGGCAATAATGGCTGCGGGCGCAAGAAGCAGGGGCGGTGGGGCTGCTGTGGGCGGCGGTGTGAGGGGCGGCACTGTCCGGCTGCCCCCCGTGCTATGGGAGCCGCAGGACCTGCTCTACACGGGGCTGTGCAGGGTGGGTAGTGGTGCTGGCGGGGCAGCTGCAGGCGGGGTGTGTCAGCGGGCTGCCGCCCAGGGCCGGAGCCGGGCAGCTGGTGCTTTGGGAGCCACGGGGCCCACTCTACAAGGCGGGGCAGCAATGCTGGCGGGGCGGCTGTGAGCAGGGGCGCGACATGTAAGCATAATTACAATATAAAATGTTATTGTTACAAATGTTTTTTATTATGCATTTATTGTATTATAGTGTATTCTGTATTGTTGCAATGAATAAAATGTTTCTTTTATTTACGATAATTTTTCTTCCGTTTATTTGTGTCCTCCTTTTCATTGTAAAAAAAGTTGGTCACCTTATTAAAAGACTCACAAAACTGCATGGCTTCTGCCAACGAGGAGGCACCTTTCCAAAATAAATAAAGGCTGCTTTAACTTTACTTTATAGCTTCTGTAAAGAAACCACAAAAAGGAAAAATATGGATTATTAAATGTCAAATCAAATCTTAGAATGATACAGGGAGTGGGGGAAAATCCAGACTATCCTATCATTCTATAAAAATGAGAAGGCACAAATTCATAGCAGATTAAAGGAGAGACTTAAGCAACACCAAAGCTTTCATAATATAGGTAAGTAAGTATGGAGAAATACAAGTTACT